GGATTATGGTCTAGAGACGGGGGTAAAACGTCATCTCGCTTCAGGCTTATTAGTGCAAAATTTTGTTAGGTCTACGGTCTACTGAATTTACTAATTTGTGCAACTTCTTACAATGAAACAATTGAAAAGAAAAGAAAAAGATTCATTTACTGATATTTCACAGTTATATGGTTTGCAGTACTCTAACTTACATATCTTGTTGCAATGTCTTTTCATAATATTGTTGTTTTAAAACTTACTGGAATTCAGGATTGGTGTTGTTGATATGTAGCATCTTATCCGTGTTTGTACTAGCGGCAATGACAATATCTTGTTCCAAGGCCATTGGAAGGACTCCATAACCACAGTAATCAATATGTTCACCTAAAAATGAAAATTACATTTCAAGGATTAACTAACAAATAAGTATTTTAGAACGTTTTTTAGGGTTAAAAACTTCTATATTCCCGAATACTATGAACAAACGGAGCAACGTTTCCTTCTCTATGCAGGTTCAACTTCATATAACAATGGATAAAGTCGAACAAAAACAAAGAACAATAGGTTTCCCAACCATTCCGCTCCATTAACTATGATACAACTTTGTAAGGGTTTTTGGGCAAGCATACAATCTGGGAAAAATCACAGGAAAAAAAACCGATTCCCAAATTGGGAATTGTTGGGAATTTCCTTGAATTCCCAATTCGAACACTCAACATTGGGATTTATTGTTGGGAATTTCCTTCTAATACCCAATAGAAAAACAAAATTCCCAACAAACTAACTATTGGGAATCAGTGCCATGTTCCCAATTTCGTTCTCTCTGGGAATTGGATGGGAATTCGTCGGGAATGCAAGGAAATTCCCAATTTCGGAATCTGTTTTTTTCCTGTGCGATTATTGCACTGCAGTGCGTCTCCGATCCATCTATAGAGTGAGCACGGCAGGCATGTACTTCTTACCTATGATATTGACTCTACCAGGAGCTCTAGCATAGAAGGCAGGAGCATGACCATATTTCTCTACGAACAAATCATTTAATTTTTCATACCTGTGGAAATCATAAAATATCGAAACTATGAATACCGAGTTTAAACAGCTTAGAAGTATATTTCATTGTATTTCACTGTATTTCATTGTGAAGTTCCAGAAATTATCCAGAAATTATTATTATTGTAGTCTGAGGTCAGTGTCACGGCGGGAAATGTCACGCAATAGAATTTCTGACGACTCCCGTATAACAATCGCGAATAATTCGTACGGGAGTGAAAAATGTTGGTAAATATACAGGGTTCCCGAGAAAATCGACAAAATTTTTGACTCCAGTACGAATAGCAAATACGAGTCGCCGTAAGGGTGATGTACGAATAGCCAGTCCGTTAATTTTTTCTTCTAAAATGATCTTTTTATACAATCACAATAGTCCTTTTGAGATCCATGATAATATTGAATAGTATTAATCCAATGTAGCTAGAAAGATATACATAGCATATACTGTATATTTAGCTACCTCCTACGCTTTTGAAACCTAGATGCAATAGAATTTATAGGTCTTAAAAATATACAAATCTTACAACGATCTTTTTAGATCGCAGAAGTCTTGCCCTGGGGGAAGCATTCAATGCTTTTTTGAGTAAAAATCTTTTTATAAAGTCTAGACATAAAGACTTTTATTTGTATTAATATAGTGCCAAGATCACATGGTTTGCATGGAATATCATATTATTTGGGATCGTATTAGCTTTGGAAAATTCGCATAATTTGAATTCAGATCTTTAAGTTACTAAATAAGAACATTCTCAAGAGATAAAAGCATTATTTAGAGTTGCACTAAATTAACTTTTGGCTATAAAATCGAGAATCAGTGAAGCAATGATCAGAGTAGCGTCTTTATCTGGAGAGTTCTTTCTACTCGTGCAAAGACTTGACTTCTCACGGCAAAACAAATGCCGCCAAAGTGACTACAAATTTGCTCACCTTGCACGTTGCTTTTCAGTTGAGTTGTGGTATATTAATTCTAGCGATCCATAGAGTGGAGGGCTTGTTTCAAGACGAGCTTTTTTCACTTCCGGCACCGCTTCGTCTTCCATGGTTTTTTTTGTCGTCTTGTCACGAGTCTCGGATGGTATGACCTTCATGGACGAATGCTTGTCGTGTGTGTGTGTATTCCATATAGTCGCCCGTGTAGACGCTGGTTGTCGTGTGTGTAGTCCATGTAGGCGCTGGTTTGGTATTGCGCTAGCCATTGACTGCCGTCCGTGGCCGTATGGAAAGGTGATTAGCGATATATGTACATTGCATATACATGTACATACATGAATATATATATAGGTTTTTATAGCCATACATTGGAATACTTATGCGTACTAGGTTCAAGCTTGCATGCGGATACATAGCCATGCATAGCCATACATGGCCATACATAGACAAACATAAAAATACATAGTCAAAAATAAAAACCAAAACTAGCTCAATTTATTTACTTATTTATTTATTTATTTTGTGGCTACGCAGTTTACTAAATGCTATATTTTTAAGCTTCAAGCGTCGATTTAACTTAAGACATAATTGTGTATTGTGGAGTTAAAAAGTCTCAAACTTGTTGTTCGTTGCTACGTCCATGATGACTGTAGCGGTTAGAAATCCATCCTCATTAGGCTCGGCTTCTTGTACGATAGCTTGATGATACAATAAAGTAGAAGGATAAAGAATAACAGGCTTCGATTGTGATTGAATGGTGTGTTTCGAGGAAAAGACTACATCACGGGCGTAGAGTGCGTTTCACGGGCCCCTCACAGACCAAATTACATACATTTATAGTATTTTTATGTTCTCCTTGTCCGCCCGGGATGTAGTCATTAAATTTTTCTTGAATGCTTTACGTTTAAAACTCATTTGGAAGTCATTGTTTTTAATTCCTAGCACTTGTAGTTTGATAATATAATAAAAGGTAGATTTTGTGTGATTGTGAAAGACTAAAGGTTCAGTAAAATAGAACTGAAGATGAAAAATTTTTTTCCGATCATGAAAAAGGTCCTTTCACTTTATGTGAAATAATCATGGTTTAATGGAGTTCACATCCAGTGAAAGGACCTTTTCGATTATGATTATAAGAGTATCCTTTTTTCAAATGACCTTATTTAAGAGTATCCTTAACCGTATTTAAGGGTATCCTTTTTCAAATGACCATATTTAAGAGTATCCTTGATCGTATTTAATGTACAATACGATCGGAATGACCGTATTTGCTTTGACTTATTGATTCAAATGCTCAAAAAACTCCTAATCTTGGCTGCTATATATTTAGTACAGGAAGCCTAATTATAATACCCAATCCCTTGTGGGAGGGGGAGGAGTAAATAATGACGTATACAAGTTGTTTGCAGGCCGGTAATTTGATGCTTGTAAAACCATTACTTTTTTAAGGAATAAAGCAAAACTAATTACAGCATTGATACCCATTTCGCTTGCTCTTTTAGAATTTCGTAGTGTTATCTTTAAAATCAAAAATTATGGAATATTCGGATCTGGATTGAGTCATTGGATCGGACTTTTTTTAAATTGGAGTGTCGGATCGATAAAAATGTTTTAAATGTGTTTAGAGTTAAAATAAAGGTTAAAAGTCTGACATTACTTGAAGAAGTGTTTTGACGTAGTTATGTTTAGAAATGAATTTAAAATATGGCTTTTTTGAAAAGGAAATGTATAAGGATACTCAGTGAGAATCTGTAAATTTATTCCACTAATTTTGCCATTTCTTTTCATCTTAATCAAGCAGGAAATCAAAAGAGATGTCCAAGAATCCCTGACTTGTGTCTATTCCAGATCACATGTTAAAACAGAGAGTGGTCATACAGTTACCATAGATACCACTAGCGAGGATAAAAAGGAAGGCTTTATTCCAAGGGAATGGATATTGTAAAAACARAAAACGTGAGTAGTAAAATTTATGTAAGTTCGAATACAGTGCAATTATAATGTATGCGGGGGTTAGCGGCAGAACACGAGAGAAGGGTTAGGAGAAGAACGACACATAGTGGAGTGGAGAGGTAGGAATGGGGAGGTGCTTAACCATAATTTCAATCATCAAATATACTTGCTGTCGCCTTGTTATAGCTATAAGGTGGATAAAATCATCAACGAACGTGATACTTTAATGTACAAACACATCTTCATTTTATCACAAAATCACTTCTACTGTCTCCATGGCCATAGAGATGTAATAGTTTGGGTTCCACTCTCGACTTATGTTCAATTGTTGAACGCGTTGCACAAGAACAATCATCAAACAAACCCAATTTAAGTATTTTATTACACAACTATTACAAAATGCGAATATATTTTCAAGCTTCGAGCATCGATTTGACTTCAGACACAATTGTCTAATATTGAGATAGAATGTCCTTTTAAATATAAAATTGCTTCTACTGTTTTTATTGCCATAGAGATGCCATAGTTTGCGTTCCACTCTCGACTTATGTTCTACTATTGGAGGCGTTTATTCGAGAACAATCACTATACAAACTCATTTCAATCTTTTCATGGTTAAACACCATGCTAATATATTTTAAGCTTAAAGCATCGATTTCAATTCAGACGTAAATGTCTATTAAGGAGAAAAAATAATCCCAAACTTCTTCTCAAACTGTTGTTCCTCGCTTCATCCATGATGACTATAGCAGTTAGAAAACAGTCTTCATTATGCACGGTTTGGTGTACGACAACTCCTTCCCTGTCCTGCAAAAAGCGTTTATAAGGGAATGTATGGGCAGAATACTGGATTTTT